GAAACTAAGTTAAAATAAAATAAGACTAGGAAATAAAGTCCAAATTGGATTAGGAGAATCTGCCCAAATCTGCCCAGCCACGTTTTGGTCTCAAATCTCCTCCAAATCTGGCCCAAGATAGCTCGTTTTAAAGATAAAAATATTCCGAACACTTCTCCAGAAGGCCACGAACCCATCCGAGGTCATCTTGGGCTCCAAAAACGCAATATAAGCCCAAAACGTCACTATTCCAGCACTGCACATCGCTCCTTCATTTATTCACCAGGAAATCATCGCTTAGTGTAAAAGTCTGATATTTTGATACGATCAAGCTAAGTGACTCACGTACGTCCTCCAACTGGAATTACTCCAAAATTCGTCCATTTGATTATGTTTTGCTCCAGAGAGAGTCGAAAGTCCTATATTGAAAATATAATTCAAAGTATCAAAATTCTTCCAAAATATTAACCAAAATATACTAAGAATAGGGTTAAATATATAATATAAAATCGACTCATCAGGTGGCTTCTGAATCAGAAGTGTTGTCAATGAAGTGCTCATGTGGTGGTTGATGAAAAATCCTAGGAACCTCAGTTATACCAGCATCAACAAGGCCTTTAACACCTTCCTTGGTGTCATCAAAAGCTTTTAGGTCACTTTGTCTGTCATAATTTGTTTGAACCTCATTTGTGTTGGTAGCTACCATTTTGGTCTAATGGATATCAGATTAGATTTGATTCAGACCAGAAGTGCATATTTTTGCAAAGAAGATCACTTTATTATAAAGATCATATAGCAAAGTTGAAAATGCCAAAAATATATTCATTCTTTGACTTATGTGTATTTTCTGGTTTAAACTAAAGCATGTCATAACACATCCTCCAAGCTAATCTTATAAAAATGAACTCCTCGTTGAACTTGCTGGTTTTGAAGAGTGCAGAGCAAGACAAAAGGGTCCGGATATTCAAGTAGGTAAAATTTGTTAGCGAGATTCTAGCTTAATTATGATATTTATTTCCTAATTTATTATGATTATATTTCTTTCCTTTTTGTACAGATATTGTGTAATTAGGTTTTTATCTTGTTTCCTAGTTTGACCCTACTAGGGTTACATCCTTATACTATAAATACCTTCTTTTGGAGAAGGAAATATAACCTAAAAATATTCTACTCATATTGTTTGACTTGGCATCAGAGCCAACTTTTTTGGTAACCTGTGTATTGTGCCCACCCGTATTCTATCCCCATGTTTTTTTTTCTCTACCTGTGCCGTGTGCACCCTCCTGGGTTTTTGTGTTGTGTTGTCGTGTTCGTGCCTTTACTGTGTTCGTGCCATTCTTGTGTTCGTGCATCTGCCGTATTTGTGCCCTTGTTGTGTTCCGTTGTGTACTCTGCTGTATTCGTGCATGTCTTCTTGCATCTGCCGTATTTGTGCCTCTGCTGTGTTCCGTTGTATACTCTGCCTTGATCTGTTAAGTTTCTGCTGCAATCATGGGTGATAACTCCATTGTTGGTGTTGTTGCTACTGCCTATGCAAATTTGTGTGTTTCTGATTCTATTCCAGGTACTGGCTTTAATACTTGGATAATTGACACTGGTGCTTCTGATCATATGACTTATGATGCTAAATTTTTTGATGAGTTGTCTAGTAACACCCGTGACCCATACATAACTACTGATAATAACTTGCCCTCTCTAATTACTGGTGAGGGCACAATCTCTATCACTCCTACTTTGTTCTTGTCTCGTGCGCTACTAGTTCCCGATATCCATTGTAACTTGTTATCTGTTGGTTGATTACTTGATACACTTAATGCTTCTGCTACTTTCTATCTTATGCATTGCTCTTTTCAGGATCTCAAGACTCATGAGACGATTGGGCATGGTAAACGGATAGGGGGGTTATATTATTTGACATTGCCTTCTACACCAGGTCGTGCTCATGTCGTTAATACTGTTCAAAGTTGCAGTGTCAGAGAGAAAGAACAAATTTGGTTATGGCATCGTTGCTTGGGACACCCGTCATTTGGCTACCTTAAGCGTCTGTTTCCATCTTTATTCCGCTCTTGTGATGAGTCCAGTTTTAAGTGTGAGACATGTATTTTGGCCAATAGTCATCTCACTGTGTTTCCTTTGAGTGACAGTAAAGCTGCAAAGCCTTTTGATCTAGTGCATTCTAATGTGTGAGGTCCGGCTCGCGTTACTTCGAATAGATTTCGTTGGTTCGTCATATTTATTAATGATTGTACCCGACTCACTTGGGTTTTCTTGCTGAAAAATAAACATGATATTGCTTCCATCCTTCCAGAGTTCTGTACTATAGTGTCTACTCAGTTTCATGCTCAGGTCAAAGTATTTCGGACTAATAACATAGGCGAATATGTGAATAACACTTTGGCATCTTTCTTCCTTGCTCAAGGTATTATTCACCAAACGACAACCCCATTTACTCCTCAGCAGAATGGTGTGTCTGAATGCAAGAATCGTCAGTTACTTGAAGTTGTCCGCTCCCTTATGTTGGACATGTATGTTCCCCATCATCTTTGGGGCATGTTGTTTTATCTGCTGCATATTTGATTAATCGTGATTTCAAGACTCCACGTGATGTGTTTGGTGACTATGTTTCCCCTGTTTCAGTCTCCAAGTTGCCCCTAAAGTTTTTAGGTGTATTGCCTATGTTCATGTCTACTCTCATCAACGAAGTAAACTTGATCCTTGTGCTCTGCGATGTGTTTTTATTGGTTACTCTTCTACTCAGAAAGGTTATAAGTGTTATCATCCACCTACCCAGAAGGTACACATTAGTTTGGACTTGACTTTCTATGAAGAAGTACCCCATTATGTCTCTCATTCCTCTCCAATTCATAGGGAGAGGGGGAGCGAGGGGGAGCGAATTGGAAAGTCTTGGATTGGAGAATGATGTGTTTGAAGATACTGCTTTCAGGAAGGAAACGACTTGTCGCACTAAAGTAAGTGATCGGTCGCCCATATATGAAGATAAAACTTGTGGTCCCTGCGAAGAAATGACTGATCGCCCTTTGGAACTCGACCAGTCGCCCATATTTGGAGAAGAAGCAGGTGCTCTCGGTGTCGAAACTACCGGTCACACTGAAGTAAGTGACCAGTCGCCTGTATCTGAAAATAATGACAGTGATTCTTATATGGATGAGTTTGATGGAATACCCCCCTCTGCCATGCCAGTGCCCCAATCTACTCATGATAGTGAATCAAGTCATGTAATTTATAATGATCTATTTATGTCAACTTATCAGTTACCTCTACGAACCACTCATGGGAAACCTAAAGTACAATATTCTCCTGATATATATGCCAAGTCTAAATATCTCATTAGCCATTGTGTGTCAACTCATCGTTTGTCTAAGTCATATGCATCATATTTGTATCAATTATCTAGTGTATGTGTGTCAACTAAGCTGCATGATGCTTTATCTAACCCCAAATGGATGGATGCCATAAATGTTGAAATGGATGCCTTGAACAAGAATAAAACATGGGAATTAGTTCATTTGCCACGAGGGAAGAAAGCTGTTGGATGCAGATGGGTGTTTACTTTGAAGCATAAAGCTGATGGTTCCATTGACCGTTACAAGGCTAGATTGGTAGCAAAAGGTTATACTCGGACCTATGGAGTTGATTATTTGGAGACCTTTGCTCCAGTAGCAAAGCTCAATACTATGTGTGTACTATTGTCCCTGGCTGCTAACCACGACTGACCCTTATTACAATTCGATGTCAAAAATGCGTTTCTACATGGTGACCTTAATGAGGAGATTACATGGATCTCCCTCCTGGTATCCCTATAACCTCAAAGGAGGGTGTTGTGTGTAAGCTGCAGAAGTCTTTATATGGATTGAAGCAGTCTCTAAGAGCGTGGTTTGGGAGATTTGCAGCATTTATGAAGAAATTTGGGTATGTGCAGAGTAACTCAGATCATTCTTTGTTTCTAAAGCGTCATAAAGGTAAATTGACAGCTTTAATTATTTATGTTAATGATATGATTATGACTGAAGATGATCAGGCAGAAATGCAGAATCTTCAGAAGTATCTGGCTTCTGAGTTTGAGATGAAGTCATTTGGTGATTTGAAGTACGTTCTTGGGATTGAAGTTGCCATATCTAAACATGGTATCTTTTTATCTCAAATAAAGTATATTTTGGATTTACGTGCAGAGACTAGAATGTTAGATTGTAAACCAATTGATACCCCTATTGAATAGAATCATAAGTTGGGGTTGTATCTTGATCAAGTCCTTATAGATAAAGAGCGTTATCAACGACTTGTGGGGAAATTGATTTATTTATCTCATACACGTCCTAATATTATATATACAGTGAGTGTAGTGAGTCAGTTTATGCATTCTCCTTGTGAAGATCATATGGGTGTTGTGATGCGCATATTGAGGTGTCTGAAAGTAACTCCTGGAAAGGGGTTAATCTTTTGCAAGTATGGTCATACATATGTGGAAGGGTATACGGATGTTGATTTGGCTGGTTCAATCACTAATAGACGTTTTACGTCTGGGTATTTCACATTTGTTGGTGGTAATCTTATTACTTGGAGGAGTAAAAAGCAAAAAGTGGTGTCTAGGTCTAGTGCCGAGGGCGAGTACTGTGGGATGGCTCAAGGTGTGTGTGAGTTACTATGGTTGAGAAGATTGTTGAGAGATCTTGGGTTTGGACCCTAGAAACCCATGGATTTGTATTGTCATAATAAAGCTGCAATTGCAATTGCACATAATCCTGTGCAACATGATCGTACAAAGCACGTGGAGGTTGATCGACATTTTGTTAAAGAAAAGTTGGATGCTGAAATTATTTCTTTTCCGTTTATATCATCCGAGTATCAACTGGCAGATGTTCTTACGAAAGCTGTGTCTACTACGGTCTTTCTCAACTCACTTGACAAGTTGGCATTTGTGACATCTTTGCTCCAACTTGAGGGGGAGTGTTAGCGAGATCCTAGCTTAATTATGATATTTATTTTCTAATTTATTAGGATTATATTTCTTTCCTTTTTGTACAAATATTATGTAATTAGGTTTTTATCTTGTTTCCTAGTTTGACCCTACTAGGGTTACATCCTTGTATTATAAATACCTTCTTTTGGAGAATGAAATATAACCTGAAAAATATTCTATCCATATTGTTTGACTAAATTTGTTTAAAAGTAATCTGTTGAAAATTGAAATAGAACAAAAGTAATTTTAATAAATTATGACATTAATATATTCATTTTGGGTTAACTATATTTAGTGTTTGCGTACCGACATGTGATATTGATTATAAAATTTTATTAAGTTCAAGACTTTTCAATATATCATCATAGTTGAAAAATTCTGCTTTTGTAACAGGATTCCATCTAATCTGTTCACAAACATGATTTGCAGGATTCTATCAAACCACAGTAACAGATAAATATCTTATTTTATAACTTTGACATATGTCCTGCATCAGGCATATAACTCTTAAAAACCTGCTTTTGCTGGCAAGCATGATTTTACAAGTGCATGAAGGTTATTAGCAAACCACAGCAGAGACAGTTTATGAAATTTTAAAAAAGAAATTGGAGCAGCTACAATAAACAAATGGTGTCTGCTAAATATTTTGTTCAGGGCTGCACTGCTCCTCTATCTCCAAGTTCAAAGCTTAAAATGAGTTAAGGCAGAGGTGCCATCAAGGCCTTTGTCATTGAAGTGGGCAGTATATTCCCTTACAGTTGTCTCCCTGTACTTTGGAGGGTTTTCTTCTGATAATAACTCTTTGATGGGTCCATAGAGTCTTTCCAATGGTAGCATACCTGTGGTAAAGAAGCATGGAACTGATACTCTTGGACCTACGCGGTTTGCCAATACCCTGTGCTCTACGCTCTTGAATCTATCATTTGATAAAAGCTGCAAACCCAAAAGAACTCAACCATAAATTTTATTTATTTATTTATTAAAAATAAAACCAAACTAGGAAACCAGATGGAAGAATATGAGTCATGTTCTAATACAATACTAGTAAGAGATGAAGAAAAAGAAAAGTTGTAATTGCCTGTAGAAGATTTCCTATGTTAACCACCAGAGCCCCAGGCATTGGGGGCACATCAATCCACTTGTTCTGATGAAGAACTTGGAGACCACCAATATGATCTTGCAGAAGGACTGTGAGGAAGACATTGTCAGCATGCTTGCTTGCCCCCATAGTTAACTCAGGCTGTGGACATGAGGGATAGTAATGCCCTCCAAGCAAAAGCCCTAAACCACAATCTATGTCATTCAAGTAACTTGGCTTTAGCCCAAGAGCCTCGGACAGCAACTCGAACAACAACTTCCCCAATTTCATTACTTGCTTGGAGTACTCAATGACTATGTCTCTACAAAAGATGAAAAACAGCAAAGCACATGAAGTTGTCATATATACATAATTCAATTAAACATTCTAGTGAGGGGCATTTAACCAAAATGGTAAGCTCAGCTGAATGGCTTTTGTTTTATGTTTAGAAAAGGAAAATGGCCTACTGTTGGAGGCTGAGTTTTTTCCTACTTACTCATGTATAAAGCTCACATCGAACTCATTCTTATTCAATATGGGATTCTTGTTTGGGACATTTTACCCCTGTCCCAGACACGCAATAGACTTGTCACTGGCGATAGAAGACAAGGAATTAGGCCTGCTTTAATACCAATTGACTTAATCCAAAAGACCAACTAGTTTGGTGATGCTTTTAACCCATCCATATAAACCTCAGATGGGTGGTTCGTATCCAATTCCGAAGCAAGATCAATGTACATTAAACTTCAAATTAAGCTGGACAAAGTATACCATATCATCTAATTAACTCATCAAATTCAGAGATGGAATTTAAATCAAATAATTGATATCATCATAAACTGACCAATTATAGCAGAGAATTATAAGTTTCCTTGTCACATACCTGAATACTTCTGGCATGTCTTCTGGCTTAGCAGGATTGGGAGCCATGTGGCACCTAAAAGTATCCCTCCAATTAGTCGCCGGTGCTCGGTATAGATCAAAGTTGCTATTGTAGCCCACAGGTTTGAGCGGATCACGATTGTAAAACTGTTTCTTCACTTGAGTGTCTTGCTCAAAAAACCCACGCACACTATCCTTCATCTCCTCTAGAACACCAACTGGTATTCCATGGTTAGAAATTTGAAAGAAGCCCCAAGTCTCTGATGCCTCTCCAACTTTTGCAACAATCTCGTTTCGTTTCGTTGGACTATCAAACTCAAGGCCTTCAAGGTCAATGAGTGGAATGCTAAACTGCGTAGCTTCTGAATCAAAGTTGCTGTTGATGATGTACTGATCTGGTGGTTGATGAAAAATTCTAGGAACCTCAGTTACCCCAGCATCAACAAGGCCTTTCACACCTTCCTTTGTGTCATCAAAAGCCTTCAGCTCACTTTGTCTGTCGTAATTTGTATTGTTGGTAGCTACCATCTTGGCTTAATGGATATCAGATTAGATTTGATTCAGGCCACAAGTGTATATTTTATCAAAGAAGATCACTTCATTATATAACGAGGAGAGTGGGAAGAGACAACGCTCTTGCAAAGATCAAGCACGTTGAAAATGCCAAAAATTCATTGTTCACTTTCTTTTTTATTTTTTAAAGAAATTTTAAAATTGCATTCACGAAAAATTCATTGGTTGACTTGATTATTGGCAATAAAAAATAGTCATACTCATGTGTATTTTATTGTTTAAACAACGAAAGGATGCCGTAACACATCCGCATAGCTGCTTTTTATATATATAAATTAACAACTTGTGCATTTGTAGCTTTCGAATAGCCCAGGCCAAGACAAAAGGGTCCAAATATTCCCTAGTAAGTAATAATTGTTTAATAGTAATTTGGTGATAGATGAATTAAAACGCGGTGTTAGTTGGATTAATCCAGATATTTGGTGTTCTGAGTTTTCCTTTTTTCTTTTTTAACTTTGGCAAAAAAAAAAAAATAGAAGTAATTTAATATTGGGTTAAAAATCTTTTTAGTCACTGAGTTCTACACAAAAATCCGATTTGATCATTGAAAAAATAATTTAGCCAAATTAATCACTACATTTTGCAGAGTTTACAGTTTATATTTCTAGACATAAGTGGCTTTGGATTTTTCAACCAATAAATAAATAAATTGGTCTCATGTTCAAGGAAAATTTCTCTCACAAACCAAGGACACTCAGATTCCCTAACCCACGAGCAACCAATAATAACCTTATGAAAATGCCCTGAACACGTGAATCAATCAATTTTCTATTTAAAAGTTGGGTAAATAACTTTGCCCCTTTCTAAAAGAACCTTAAAAGTTGTCTATTAAAAAGCCAAATAAAAAACCCAAACCAAATTTTAAACGAAATCAACAGCTTACCAATATATTTTGGTGCTCTGATTACGTATATTTGGATATTTCACATGGGACTGGCTAAAGAACTAAAAATCCATAGTTGAAACTTTAAAGGTCGACAATGTGCATGAAAAATCCATATTTGGATGTCTCACATGCAGGATATGAAAGCAAGGATAAAAATGCATGAAAGGTCAACATGGGTTGGCAATGGTGCAATGGGAATTATTTCTTGGGAGACTTATAAATAAACCCAAAACGAGTACAATATTTATAAAGAAGGACAAAATTAAAGTCAATAATGCCCTTATTCATATCTAAATTTCCTAGGGAATCCTTCTGCTTCTGCTAGCCGGATGAAACCAAAATGTTTCTTCTTTTCATATGTTGCTTTGTACTGGCCGTATGGAGCCAAATAGTTTGGCGACTATTCTGCTGGATGGATTCTTCACGTGGTCTTCATGCATCCATCATGTTATCTATGTTGTGTAGCTCTTCTTCTCCTAAGCTATTCCAGTATGAGTTGTCATTATCTTCTGCTGTAATCTGTTCTGCTATCTGATTGTAGATTTCATCAAAAACTTTTGCTCCTATAGTGCTGATCATGTATTTATATATATCATCTGGTCTCCTGGATGTGGATTCTGAATACACCTTGATAAA